TCACCATTTGGTTGTTATTCCTGCTTCCGTTCAGCCCCGTTAAGCATTTGGATTCTTTTAGCAAGTCTTCTTTCATCATTAGCATCACATCTGCTGCATCGCCTGCTTTCGGAATCAAACAGTATTCATCTCTTTCCTCGCATTTCCTTTTAACCTTTCTTGTGTTTTTCTTTGTATCTGTTGTTTTTTGTTTTGCCCTACAATCCGACGCTGACTATACTTCAATCTTCACAGCCCAGGCTTTTCTTTAAAAGCCTGTACATTAGCTCTAAGGCTAAAATTTCTTGGTACCAAACAGAAGAAACAGCACAGATTTCAAAACTTATTTCTAAGGCTCTGTTCAGCCCTGGTGAGGGCTGGTTAGTGCAGCATGTTCTCTTATCATGCCATGAAATGTATTTATCCAGAGCTTGGATTTATACATCCCCTATGTTTTGATCTAAGAATTTCATGTGGACATTTGTTCAAGAAGTTACTCCTCTTTCTTTTGGTAGCCTTTTGGTTTAGTTCAGTGTCATTTGAGACCATGAGCAGCTCCTGAGGTCACTGCTTCAGGAGCCCAGTCTTATATCCTACTTTAGTTTCCTCTGTACTGGATAAGAGGGCAAACACACAACTATTTTTACGTGCTTTCGTCTTTCAGAAAACTGGGTCATAGCAACACTCGAGGAGCACAAGGATGCCCTGTCCCTGCAGACTTTCAAGCCCAGGCTGGGCCAGGCTCTGAGCAACTTGATCTAGCTGTGGATGTCCCTGTCCATTGCAGGGGAAGTGGACTAGATGGCCTTTAGAAATCTCTTCCAACTCTTAAGGATTCTGTGATTGTTGAGCCCTGTGTAGAGTACAGGGGAGAAAAAAGAGGAACATCCAGTTCTCATCCCAGGAAATGGTTAACTGTACTATGCGCAGTGTTTGGTTTGTGATTGTTGCATTAGAAATCTGAAGGGTGGGTTGTCTGGTCACAGTTGCTCAGATTCATTAAGATGGCTAACGAGGGCCTCAGAAGGGCCTGGCAGCAGTGGAGTGAGGCAGATGAACCATTTGGCAAAGCAGTGACGTCAGCAGTATTGTGGAAGGCAATGCAGCGAGCATGGGAGGACGTCATGCTGTAATACCCTTGGTTCTGCCACTTCAGGAGCATGGTCTGCATGTTGCTGGTGTCAAATTGGTGGAACTGGTGGATGAGTGATGATTATTCATGTGAATTAGGAAATACGTATGAAGTCGCACAAGAGGTAGTTGTCTGTGAAGTTGATAATTCTGTCTGTGTTTGAAATAGCCTGTTCAGTTTATGTCTCACAGACAGGGAAATTTTCAGATTCTAGAAAAATAGCATGCAGGAAGGTTTTACTCTTGTAATAGTAGTAAAACACGCATTGAAGGTTTTGATTTACTGCAATGTAATGAGTACTGAGTAAAATTAAGCAAAGTCCATGTGAGATGGATGGGAGGAAATGCATTTAATCTAGTGAGCTGTTCAACTGGGAGGACCTCTGCTTCCAGATATGTCATTTATTTGGGGAGGTAGGTTTTGGTTTCTGCATTTGCTGGTAGTTACACTAGTTGGAAATGACCCAGTGAACTCTAAACTGCTAAGTCTTTGGAGTGTCTAACCTTTTCTTTTTAAAACCACTTTGGCACTATTATAATTGATTCCATCCCTGGCCTTTTCATCAGTTCTCTCCTAGCCAGGAAAAACTGAGCTGTTAAAGACTGCTGCAGTACCATGGGACTTGGTTCAATGTTGCAGACTCTTACTCTAACCTGAAGTTATCTGCCAGTCATCACTATTTGTTTGCAAAGCTGTAACCACCTCTGTGTTATCTTTGGGATGAAAATCCTGCCACAGTTACAGCAATCAATAAAATAAGAGGAGTCGGCATGTGTTGCTAATCATCCTTTCACCTTCCAAGAATTCCAGCTGCCGACTTGCTGCGTGTGTGCTGCAGCATTCCCAGTCACACTGACACTGTGCTGGCTACGCTGAAGTCAATAGGGAGGAGCGAGGGGCTAAGGCAGCTGATCATTGCGCTCCAACAGCCATGTTCTGCTCTTGTAGGGGTGTTGGAAAAAGGATCTCTTATGAGATTCCTGCCCTAAAAGAAAACATCGAGGTTTATCATTGTTGGTTTTCTCTTTTGTTTCTCACATGCTTGTGCTGTTTTGTGAAACCTGGGTCCTTTTCAATGCTTTTGTCTTTCCTTGCATTTAAACTGTGTACTGCCAGAAAATAGGCAGGTCTTATCTATCTGTCTATCTGCCTGTCCATCTATCCATCTATTTATTTATTTTTAGGTTAGTAACGCTGTAAGTTTGGTATTAATTCACAGAATTTATAGTAACAGGTTTCTATGCAAGAAAATAAATCAAGGTTTTGCTGTTCTTTAGTCTCCTCCATCCCATTGTACAGTCCTGGCTGTAAAATCTAACGTAGAGAATTCTTCCCGTGATTTAAAATTGTTATTTTTATGTATTGTTAAATTGTATAAATTGTTAAATTGTATAAAATTGTTATTTTATGTATACTTGCCTGGGTGGGTGATTTTCTAAAAACACAATTGTTTCAGCCACCAACTATCTTGGGGTGAAGTTTTGTGGGTTGTTCTGCTTCTTCTGTAAAGGCTGAAGGGCTCATTCAGACACTGTTTACTGGATAGTAACAAGTGTTACCTAGCAAGTGATTTAGCAAGTGTTGCACTGGGTCCCGGTTTTAACCTGTTTAAGCAAGGTGTAAAGTGTCACTTGTTTTTAGTTTTAGTTTGTGTGGCTCTATAGCAATGGAGATGCTGAAATTAGAAGACTTGGATAGGCAGGGCTTCATACCCAGTAAGTGAGTGATGAAGTGTCAGTGGGCCAAGTTGCAGTCCTGGGAGCCAAAGACTGGAGTGCTTGCCTCCACCTCATCTGCTTGAAACAGCATAAAAAGATACCTGCAAGAGGTGGTTTGTGGGGCCTGTGACAGCTGACTGCCAGTGTAATATAGCTGTGAAAAAAACAACTTTCATTTTTGGTTCATGTAAAGCAGGGTATCCACCAAAAGCCTGGAAATGTAAATTTCCTTGTATGTGATGCAGGTGAGAAATTGGCAGGAGCATTAGAATATGGTACAGGATTCTGGTTGTGGGTTTTTTAAGAACTGTAAGTCAGAAAGATTAACAAAACAGGAGGGACACGGACATGAGCACCCTAAAAGAGTGTGCTTCTTACAGCCAGGAAAATGAGGTCTGAAGGACCTTGCGTCTTTCTGATGTCCTTTGGTCTGGTTTCTTCTGAAGCCATGCCATCACTGGGCCACTTTCCCCGGGGTGCTCAGTGAGGCCACTTCTGGTGGAAGTGGTGGTCGTGGCAGATGGCCTGTGATGGGTAGCCATCGCTTCTTCATCTCCAGGCTTCAGCAGCTGAGTGTTGATGTGCAATGGTTGGCCTTCCACCTTCAGCATCCCCTGAAGCTGCTCCTGTTCTTTTGTGCAGTAAGTGCATGCTGTAATTCACTTTTAAGCACACACAAATGTTTCTTCTTGGAATGAGTTTCGTTGCAGTGCAGTGGGTGTGGGCTCAGCAGACAAGCAGGCTGAGTTTCCACGAGGTGATCCTGGGGAATCTGAACGTTGGGAGCACCAAGTTGGATTCGCTGGAAGCTTTGTGGCTGATCCTGGAGCCTTGGGGAAAGCAAAGCTCCTATGAAGTTGAAGGAAGATTTCCTGGAATGAACACAGGAAACGATGACTGTGTGTTGTAGCGGACTCTCAGCTTTTAATGTTGAGATCCTGGCCGCTGTGTGAGTGCAGATGTAGCAGAGCACCCTGCATGCCTTACACTTGTAGATCAACTTGGTTGTACTATGGCTTTGCTGCATAACAGTTGGCACAGAGCTGTGAACAAGAGTGATCTGTTAGTGGAGCAAGCCAGCTCTGTATTGTCCTCTTGAAACAGAGCTATTTCAGGCTAGGCCAAACTCTTTCACTGCTGGGGTCATCACAAGGCTGGGCTGGCAGCAGAGTGCTCACTTTGGGAGGAAGTCACTGTGACCCAGCATAGGTGGGTCCTCAAGTTCTGTGCTTCAGGAGTGTGAGGGTTATGTGCCTGCTACACTTCAGAGTGCTTGGAATACAGGAGCCTTTAAAGAAGGGTCCCGTGGCAGTGCTGCTTGTTTTGTTTGCTCCTGTTTCTGCCTGCCTGGTCTCCTCATTTTGACAGATCACAACTAGAAATAGGTCTCTTACAGTAAAGACAATTTTAAATGTTTTTTTTCTATCAAAATTCCCAAATAACTCAAAATGTTCCTTCCAAGCTGCATCTGTCCCTCATCACGTGCTGTTCCTTCCTCTTCTGTGTTTTTTTTCGATGCTCCAGCTTAGCATATCCTCAGCAAGCAATGGGAAATCTAGCACTGGGAGTGAGATGGTGACACAGTGACCTCGTTCTGAGCATTACTTTCTTTGTCAGGAGCAGCAGAAGCTGAGGCAGCTCCACTGGCTCTCAGCACTTGGAGCAGTTTGACGTTTTCTGCCTGGCGGGGTTTCAGGGCTCACTTTGTTGTGAGCCCAAACGGTGAATGGAATGATGAAAAACGAGCTTGCAGGAACTTGTCCACTGCTTTTAATTTTTTGATAAACAGTTGCAGCAGCACAACTTTGATCCAGTGTAGAGCAATGCTGTCTGTTACGTGCAAGGCTGCAGCATTCTTTGGGACTGACAAAGGAGAGTAAGTCTTTTCTTTGAATCAATAAAGTAAAAATTAGTGTCGTGTTCAAATAGTGAATAGTTCAGGAAAATACAGCTCTGTGTAAGCATGTGTGTATGTGTCTGCGTATACGTGTGTCTGAGCATTTGTGGTTTTGTGTACTGTGGGGGTGTGTGTGTGTTAAATCAGGAAGAGATGTTGGGGGTACGTTTTTTATCTCGACCGGAGGGTTGGAGCTTTAACTTGTCTTTGCTAATGCATGTAAATAGCTTTCTTGTCCACTTAACGAGGAGGCTGGCTTGTTATCCTGTACAATGCAGCTGGGCACGGTTCCAGAAGCAGAGGCACTTGGTTTCAAAGACAAAGAAGCCAGTGCAAACGTAGGGAGAAACCTGGAACATTGCGTGGTGGATTTTTTCAGAGCGATGACTCATTTCAGTTCACAAAGGATTCTGGGCAGGGTAGTGAGAAGTCAGGTTGGCTGATCCATTCCTATGACTTCACTTTGCAGAGAGCCAGGCAGAAGAGGAGTGACACTGCAGAATCCTGAGGCACTGCAGTGGAGAGGTGCTTTGCTAAGACTGTGAGTGCCTTCGAAACAGGGGGTGGTGTCAGAACGGGATTCCAGCTGTGCTGTGGAAATGGGGCAAAAAGGAGAGAGTTGTTTTCAAAACACCCGTGTGGGAGTTGTATTTGTAGGGCCCTTTAGATTCTCTGCTTCCTCCTCCCCTTCATTTCTTAACCATTTATTTCTTGTGCTTATGTGAGAAATAAGTCTGAAACGGCATTCCCTTCGGTGGAGCTGCACAGATACTGCATTCTCTTTTATTTTCTGGAAGCCTCTACATCCTTCTTAAAGAGGTGGGTGTTTGGCATATTGCTGCCTAAAAGCATGCTTTATTTTTCCTTCTTTCAGGTCCTGTGGCACTGATCTCTGCTGCTGCCAGCTTCCACAGTGATATAAAGCCCCAATATGCACAGTGTTCTTACATCACAGATACTCTGGATACTGTACTGGAGCATGGAACCATATCATAGGGGTTCAGGTAAGTCCCCCTTTTTTAACATATTGTGTGCCAGGAATATAGACATGGACATTTACTAAGAGATGCATTTGGAAATTACAGTTTGTGTAAACACATTCTAAAGCACACAATATATTAAAAAAACAAAACAAAACAGCAGTCTACCCTCTTTCATCCCAGGATAAGCAGTACCTCAAAAAATCTCAACTGAATCCTCTCTGGGAAAGTTCCGTGCTCCAGCAGAAACTTTCTATGATTATAGTCATAACACGTGCTGGGATGTATATCACTTTGGATCAGGAGGCAGCTGACCACTGGACATGAACCAAGAAAAGGAAATTTACATTTCAGGAAATACTCAGGAGAAATGTACGTAGGACAAATCTGGAGACTGTGGGTATTTTAGCACCTCTTTCCAAACGCGGTGTGGCACTTGATGAACCTGGAGATGGTGCTTTCAGCTGGGTTTAACCAAGTGAGAAGATAAATTTATGTAATTGAAGTGCAGTTCATAACTGGTAGAGAACTAGAACTTTGTTCAGAGGCAAGTATTTATCATGTGGTTACTCACTGTTAGGGTTACTGTGTTTTCTTCAGTCTGGTTAAAGTTGTTCTGGTCACATTGCCAGGTTGCATTTTTGAAGTGTATCTATATTTGCAAGAGAAGGTATATTTTGATGTGTGTGAGTTTCGGAGGTGTGGAATGAGCTTCCTTCCTCTTTAGAGAATGTCTGCTACTGCACTTGATGTGCCTTTGTTTAACCTGCTCTTAAATGTGAATAAATGGCAGAATCTTTAACTTTTCTTATTGAAAATCAGCCCTCTGATATGCATAACCATCTACTAAGCACAGTTTGCTGCATTGTCCCAAAAATACTCCAAAATGTGGTTTAAAATGAAGACTTAGCTATGGCTGAGAACAGTGAAAACAATGTAATTTCTGATTTTCTGTATTTCAGATTTGGCTAGTAAAATGTGTTCTTTCTTACTATATGCTAATGTAGATCCAAGGCATTTCAGTGTAATCTGGGTAATATAGAAATCTGCGTGTCCTTCTGCTCCCTCATGTTGCTTAATGAGATGAAAGCATGATCTGGCTTAAAATGGCAATTGTATATCATCATTGTGAGTTCACATATGAAAAGTTTAGTTTGCCACATCTAAGCAGGTGTTCTGTGATTAGAGTGATCAGTTATGTTGAGATTTGGGTGAAAAGGGAGTAATGTGCAACCCAGGCCAGGTATGGTACCTGTGGGGCATCTGTTGCTTCTGCAAGTCAACTTGATAATGTGCTTTTCCTAAAAGAGACTTTTCACTTTCAGTATTTTGGGGGGGGGGAAAAAGGTGAAAATATAGTAGTTGAATAATAATAGTAATAATAGTGAAAATATAATAGTTGAAGAGCCTTCTTTCTGTCCCTTAGTGGTAGTATTGTTTTTGTTAGTTCTCTTGTGTTTGAAGAGCAGCTCTCTAGTTCTTCCTGGATCGAAACTGTGGTTGATTGTTGACCAAAACAAGTTGTTACCAAGAAAATGTGTGTAGGGAATTTTTGTTGAAACTGCATCTATGGCCATGAGGTGCCATGAAGCACTCTAGTTGTTTGATTCTTCCTGATCAATTCCGTAACCCTGTAAGCAGTGGAAAAGTGACCTGATGTGTGTTTTCTGACTAGGTTCTCTCATGTCTGGTGGGACGTGGCTCTGCCCCACCAAGCAGTTGGAGCATGTGTAGTAAGTGCTTACTGTTGTAGAGTCTCTATTGTCTACTGAGTCCCAACCTTTCTGGCACATGAATGTACCCAGACTGTGTTTGTGCAAGCTTCATTTCCCATGGAAACCAGGCCAGAAATTGTGTTTACAGCTTATTTTGGGCCGTAGGAGGTAAAAGGCTGCTGAGGTGTTGAGAGCCAGGATGGCCTATTTGGCTTTCTGTATATCACAGCATGCATACTGTAATCAGAGGGTTTCTTCAACATTTCAAGGAAGGAGTATATAGAGAGTCTAATAAATTGTGGCTTTGCATTGTAATTTTGTGAATTTTCCTTTTGAATGGCTGTACTGAATCGGTTCCATTCATAAGTCAGGAGGTGATTTTTCAAACAGTCCTCATGCAAACTTCATGAGACAGAGAGTTTGACTTCTAAGTCACTTCTTTCCAGCAGCAGAATTGCTAATTAAAATTCTGTCATCTGTATGTAGCTGGTAGTTTAATTACTGATAGATGGTGAGAAATACAGTGTAGCTCATTTTCTGCCAGGATGGTGGTACCCCAACTTTGAGTGAACAGAGACAGTAGGTAAATGGCACGGGAAGGGCTCTGGTTCATGTGGTTTGGAAGAGGTGAATTTTCTTTGCCAGCTCAGTTGCAGACTATCACTTTCTCATCTGTATGTTGAAGATAGCTATGGTTACTCTGTTTTTGTGAATGTTTTGAAGAAATGTGCTATGTAGGAGCAAAGCATTTATTTTATTTGTTAATTAATCTCTTGTTCTAAGTAACAGAAATTATTGTTTTCCCGCGGGGTGGCATTATAAATGAGGACAGCCCCCATTTATTGTTTGTTATATGCTTAGACACTTCTTAAAATGAGGTACCACTTAAATAGTGTAGAAAAAACTTTTAAAATTTATTTAAAGAGATCATTGGAAAGACACTGCAGTAAGAGAGGTGAAACTATATGCATATACATATAAATATATAGATAGTGTTTAAACAGAGCTTGCAGTCAGCTGGTGAAAATTGCTTTCTGAGCTTCAGTTTTCATTTAATTGGGAACATAAACATATGAAAGTCAAGGATGGTAATTTGGTTTCAAAAGAAAGCTGCTTGAGACGAGCATCAGCCAGAGCTAACAGGAGCCATATGCTGGATGGTTTGTGTAAGCGATGTGGTCTTCCAAAAGAAAAAAAAAAAAGTAGGAGAAGCAGATTTGATTATCTTTTTTTTTTTTTAAATGGATTTTCCTAAAAAAAGTTGTAGTCAACCTTCTGTTCAGAGGGCTAGGCAGTATTTATACACATAATTGATGTTAATATATTGAATCATAAACACAAGGAAATGTTGTGTTGTGCATCAGATAAGTTTGTTCACTTAACTATAACCACAGAGTGCTTGTAATTTCCCAGAGCCGCGGGATATTTAAGATGAAACCTGGCAAATTAGAGCCTCCCTGGATGAGGGACTTTTGACTTTCTATCACTGGGTCTGCTGCTGGTGTTACCAATGTGTGTCAGCCTTTCTAAACCCAGAGTCACTAATTAGCTCCAGCGGACCATTACTGACAGAGGGCTGCAGAGTTAATTTGGATGCAACAGAGGCGAAACAAGAGTTGCTTCATCATAAAGAAGGTAGAAAAATATTCTATGGAAGAATGTAAAGCCGTGACTGGTGATAGTCCTTTACAGAACAGAAAGGAAGACTCTCATGTAAACAAATACTTGTTGACCATTTCCATTCCATTTACAGGCATTGAAGTTGTGGTCTTGTGTGCAATTGTCGTCTTATTTCTAGTCAGTGAAATGTTTGTTAGCTGGCAATAGCATGCTCTGCTAAAGGTTGCGTTAGTGCTAAGGACCTGGTGGGTGAGGTATGGGAAATAGAAATAGTTCATGTTTTGGTGGAAACTCTCAGCTTGTTGTTGACAATGAGGACCCAACTGGCAGTGATCAAATCAAGCAGACTGAATGTTTTCCGCATGCTAAGCTAGAAAAGTAATTCCATGCTGGAGGCCTGCTTTGAAAAGGGAAATTGTGCGCAGTGCAAGGTGACTAAAAGCCAGGTAGATGTTACTGTTGCGTAACCCGTGTTCAGCTAGGTTTAAGTTAACAAGCCCAAACAGGGTGATCCCAAAGGTGTGCCCTGCAGGCGTGGTGTTGTCTGTGGAGAGAGCCAGGCTGCTCCCAGCCCACGTCTGCTCACAAGGGAACTTGTGGCACCCATCCTCTGCATATGAAGCTTCTGAAATCGCCTACCTCAATCTGCATGATTCTTGGTGTAACTGATACTTTTTAGATGTGGAATTAACCATTAAAGAAAACATTCTCCTAGACAAAGTGCAGTGGTGACCTGTGTGTCTTGGTGATAACAGGGATAGACAAATTTCATCTGATAGCAGGCATAGTTATCAGTAAACAGTAATCAATAACTGTGATGTTCTTTACCCATTCTTCAGTGATGAAGAGACAGGCAGGATTTGTTCCTGAGTCATGTGGAATTATACCTCTTCACATTTCCCTGTAAGCTGTGTACAACCTCTCTGACTGATAGTGCTTGCATGCAAAGAGCACTTCTGGCAGGAGCTTCTTGGGCATGTATAGGTGAAAATATCCAGAACAGTTTATGTGTTAAGGTCATCACTCTGTCGTCACTCAAGAGGAGGGTCTTGAGGTGTGCCATGTTGAAGCTGGAGGAAAACTGCTGTGATGGGATTGTCGCAATGATGTGATCAGGCCTGATTAATCAGCAGCAGTCAGGAGGCAGCGTAGTGCCAATGTGTAGTTTAAATCATTATTATGTCTTGGGTAACGTGTATCACTGTTGTACACAACAGATTGTACAGCTGGTGTATTGAAAAACATTGCTGGTATGTCTCTCTGAAACAGTTACACAATTTGCTACTCTCAGCAGTTCACCAGTTCCTTTCTTTAACAAAGTAATGATTGTAATGCAAGGCTAAATGCATTTTGATAATCACTTTCAAGGACTGCTATTCCTGCCTAGTAGAAATAATAGGAATATAGAATTCATACGGCAAATATCAGATCCTCAAAATTACAGAGAAAAGTTTGAATAATATTTATTTTCCACTGTCAAAGGAAATCTCTTAGTCTGTTTCTCCCCTGTATTTGAGATCATCAGGGAACTGTTATCCTTTCAAGAGGAGGTAAAGAGCAGCATGTAAGATCAGTTCTATATTTATATAAAGTATGTAAAAATGCATGTCTTTAAGTGTAGTTGTGCAGTCTTGCTAGTATTATCAAATTATCATTTCTTCAGTAACTTTTGCTTTAAGGATTTTTCAGTGGTCTTTTAAGTATGGGCTAGAGAATTATGTTTAAAGATGACATGAGAAAAAGCTATTTGGGTGAAGTTACAACAAAGCTTATTTTCAGGCCATCCTGGAACCATAAAAACTCCTAAAAATATGTGATCTTTGCAAAGGCATTAGACATGTAGATCTGAGACAGACTTATTGGAAGTATCAATCTTGAGGTGTCTAATGCTTCTGTGCCTTAAAAGAGTGTGTTCCACTTCACCAGCTGAGTGGAAATGGTATTCATTAACACATCAACATATTGTTGTAATCTCCGTCACTAATAGATGTAGTCTGTCAAATGGAAGTGGTAGGCAGTCCATACCATTAGCCAGTGAATGAATGGGTTCTGAAATCTCTGCATCCAGAAAAATGTGTATAACGCTTTTGTGTATGGATTTACCTACTAGAATGTTCAAATGTAAGGTTTTGCAACCTTAAATGACAATTTATAGGCATTTTTCTGAGTCTTCCTATTGCACCCTTTGAGAAAGTATGTCTGCATTGTGTACATCTCCCCTGTTCCAAAGATCACTGTGTCCAAGTTTTGAAATAAGCTTGTTGGTTGAAATAAGTTGAATTGTTCTCATTTGCAGAGTACAAAGACTGCAGAGCTGTATGCATCATTTCCAATTGTGTCTCTTCATCGTTGTTCTGTGGGCAGCATTTTATACAGAATGCTTCATTGCACATCTGTTGTTTTTTTGCAGGTGATGTATCACCAATCAGCATGTCTCCCATCAGTCAGTCACAGTTTATTCCACTTGGAGAAATCCTTTGCCTGGCCATCTCAGCAATGAACTCTGCCCGAAAACAAGTCACACAAGAAGCACTAATGGAGCACCTAACAACCTGCTTCCCAGGTAACTGTGCATGAATAAATCATTGGTCAAAAGAGCTCATGCCTGTAAAAGGGCAGTTAAAGAGTCCCCCCCACTCACTGCCTAAAAGATGCTTGTCTGTGCGGCTTCCTTAGAAGATGGAGTTTCAGCATTTAGTAATCTGTTTATCTTAACTTTCCTGGATGGGAATATAGATTAATCATGAGATGATACCCGAAAGTAAAAGGAGGCTTTGGGGTTCCAATGTTAAAATTTTCTGTTCTTTTTTCTTATATGCACAAAGAAGTTCCATTTGATGGAGCCGTTCATGTGAGATACATTTTGCAGGGCCAATTCCTGACTTTATGTAAATGTTAAAACAATGTCTTGAGATACTAAACAGCAAATTGTGTTCATTTGTTTCTTTTTTTTTTTTTAATATTTAAAAAAATACAAATAAATAAGGCTATTTGTCACTTTTATCACAAAACACCTTCTTTATCATCATAATCAGGAGAGTTTAAGACTTCTTTGTTATTTAAAGAGAACAAAAGCATATGTTGGAGCCAGAACAGAGTAATTCCACCTCATGGCTTTCAGTCTGGTTTTAAGAGCTCTGTTAACTTCATTCAGCTGTTTCAAGTGCCATCATTCACTCTCTGTAGGGCTGACCTCACAGAGGTCTCTGTGTAGAGCATTCTCTTTAAAAAGAGTGGGTTTCCCACATCCTGCCTGTGGGAGAGACTCTTAAATCTGGCGGGGCCTTATATGAGTGCTGGAGTCCAATGGTGATGATGTGTCTGCCTCAGCAGGAGGGTGTTACATTTAAGCTGAGAAGAGGCTGTCGGTCTGGCATGCAGGGACTTTCAGAGTCATCTTGGATGCAGTTCTAGCTTGAATATTTTTTTTAATTTATTTTTAACTTGGCAACTCTCTATGACTAAAAGGTTTGGGGAACTGTCCCTCAGTTTACAGTTCTCTGAACTAGCTAAGAAAATTCTTTATTGTACGTCTTTTAATGACACAAAAGCAGTAATTAAAAATTCTTCAGTAATAAAACTACTGATGTATCTGCTTCTTCTAGGCAGCCTAATCGTAACGGTGATCATAACACAGTGAGGTTGTGGATGCCCCCTCCCTGGAAGTGTTTAAGGCCAGACTGAGCAACCTGGTCTAGTGGGAGGTGTCCCTGCCTGTAGGAGAGGGGTTGGAACTAGATGATCTCAAAGGTTCTTTCCAAACCAAACCATTCTATGATCCTATGTGTTTTCATGTCTTGAACTTTTTTGTATCTTAAAAGTTACAAAGCAAGAGTTAACTCAAAGCCTTAGAGGTTGCATTGACTTTTGCTGCAACTGGCACTCACTTCTGAGGTTTTAAAATGTAGCTTTGAATCTACAGCTATGTTTGAGGTAAACAGTTGTGTCTGACATTTGATAATTGTACTTTGGAAAAGATTACTGCAAGTATATTTTGTAAATACTATCTCTCTGTCCTGATTTGTGGTTTAGCTTGCAGAGCATTTATTTTCAGTGTGCTTCACAGATGTTGAAAACCGTGGTAAAAGTTGTAAGGGATAGGATGCAAAGAAGGCGAAGTTCATAATTGTAATTCTAGATAAATTTATTTTGATGTTTTTTTCTAGGTCACGTTTTCTATATAGCTATGTGTTTGAAAGGTTGCATAGATTGCAAGTGTTTTTTCCAGTGATTCTATCAGTACATTTAATAAACACGCAATTGCGTGGCGGAAACAATAATTTACTGGTAGCATCCCTTGAGTTTCCTGGGAGCATAGTTATCAGGTGCCATGGTGCGTTGTGCTGTTCTTGCTAGACAGAGCCATGCATCAAAAATAATTCAACAGGCTCTGCTGCCGCAGACTGCTCACAAGAAGCCTCAGGCAACTTAGCACACAGTCTCTTGCTGCCTCTTTTTTCCACTGGCCATGGACATGTGCATATCTCAAGTTGGGGATGAAAAAAAGGAGAGCCTTGTTTTTCCCACTCCATTTCCTAAAACATAAAGGAAATTATAATTTAAAAAAAAAAAAAAAAAACACCCTTTGTTGTTCAGTTTTTTCCCCTCTCTAGAGGAATGCCCTTCTCTTCCAGCCATAACGTGTTTAACAGAGAAAGCATGCATGTTCTCTTAGTGTATGAGCACTATCCACTCATCTCGTGCCTTTATACAATGATTGGAACCTTTTCTCATGTTGAGTGATATTTCCACTTGTCTGCCCAATCTCTCTCATAAACCAGCTATGGTTTTTTGAGTCCTTCTGTTCACTGTGGCTATTTTCAAATATCTGATGTCCTCCCATATTCTGATAGCTTATTTTTCCTAATTATGTTATGATACGCTGAGAGAGAGGAGAGCATCGCCAGTGTAGATGTAGCTGTCATTGTCAAATAACCTCTCTGTAGCTCACCCCATAGCAGGACTTGTCTGCCTGTGCTGTTTGTGTTTTAATGAACAGACGCTTCACTGCTCTTCATGGCACATATAAATTTCCTAAGACCCCAGATGCCATTCTCAAACTGCCTAAGAATAATAAACCTCTTTCCTCAGTGCGGATCTTACACGAGCAGTCTAGCCCTCTAGTTTGCTGAGCCATTGTGCAGGCGTAAATCTGGGCCATGGCTCTATCTGAAATAAGGTATGCTAATTATTTATAACATCACATAGCAACCACTCCACATCCTTAACTAGTATTTCATGAGCCAATCAGAGTATTTCTTTTATCCCTTGTTAAGCCTTAGCATCAGCTCAGAAGAAAATCATTTTAGCAGACTTAACACCATTTAAATACTACTTCAGATGTATTTTTCATGAGTTTATTTTATTGAAAAAGTTTGTAATGATAACGTATGTCTTATTTGTGGCATTTGTTATTTACCAAGTTTTTTAAAGAACAAGAAAGTTCCTGCTGCACATGCTTCCGTTATTCTAACTTGGAATTACCCAATGAGATGTTTGTACAGCCCTACTTTATATTTATTGACCATGGTTTAAATCCTGTGCACTACATGTAAATCTTTGAAATCCAGTATAAGGAGCTAAGAATGTAACCTCTGCTCCTGTGTTTAGCAGCCAGACCCTCTTACCTGTATTGCTATGGCTGAAGGAAACATTGAGCATTAGACTATGCTGTCTTTAGTAAGGATTTTTCTTTTCTATCCAAATTTGTCTGTGTTGTTACAAAAATCGTTTTAAGGTATTCAATATTTCAGCATGGAAACTGTGTCTGTGACTAGGTCATGTTTTGAAGTTAAGAAGTTTTCTGAAAGCTGGCAAATTTCTCTGACGTCCACATTCATATCTGTTAGCTCTTTAAATATGTGAAATGTATATGTAGCACTTAAAATAAGTGTCATACATTAACTGAGTTCACCCTAGGTCAGTGTTCTTTGTGAGCAGCAAACAAGACATAATCTTCTGTCTGGAAGCTCAGAAGATGGCATAGTAGACTCTCTTGAGATGCAAAAAATGTACATGTCTGATGATTCAGTGTCCAGACAGTTTCTGCTTTTGAATTATTTAAACACTACATAATCTTAAATAACACCACTGCTGTCATGCAGTATTTTAAATGATAGAGCTTCTAAACTACTGGTTGGTTGGTTTTTTTGTTTTTTTTTTTTCTTCTTGCACCTATTCAATAGGAGCAGGGAGACCTTAAGTAGACTTCTGAATGCAAGGGCAGGTTATATATAGAAATGATGTGGGCAGGTTACTGTGAAGAAAAAGATCTTGAGGAAGCCAGGAAATCTGATTTCTTCTTCTGCTTGCGCCTCTGAGTTGCCATGATCTTTGACATCACTTGCCCTCTATCTCTCATTGTTATTTCCAGCACAGTAGGGCTGCTAAGTCTAAGTTCTTTGATTGTTTTAAATGGCCTGTTCTGTGCCTGTTGAAGTCAGGAGAATCTTGGCCAGTGGCTCTAGATGGAGCAGGGCTGGTCCCAGACTGTTCATGTTGTATACTTTCTCCTTAGTGTATTTGTTGATGCATGGCATTGAAATTGCTGTATGAAGAATAGTTGAATGACCCAGTCCTGTCTTACAATCTTCATCCACAGCAAGACTTTCCTCTGCTGTTTTTTAACCTCGTTGAAGATTGTAGAACACATAGAGGAACATTTATTTTATTTTTAATTGAACCTGCTGCAATCTAACAGAAATCTCACCAACCATGGTATTAAACAACGACTCCCCTTGTATTTTTGTTTTGTTTTGACTTCATGAATATGAATTGTCACATGAGATGTTCTCTCTTTCCAGTGCTTGTATGGGAAGTTTGGGCTTCTAAATTTGCGTAATTCCGTTGCACACCCAATATCACACTTCAAGTTTGGAAACAAAACGTAACAGTACAACTGGAGTCATAGGATGAAATATTTAACTGCTCAGAGGGAAAATAGACATAGTACGTGGGAAAGGAGAATCATTATGCAGGATAGATGTTACACTTCCTAATATAAATGAACTACTTGATCTTTGCACTCATTCTGGCTCTGGTTATGAGCAGTGGGAACACTCAAGTGCACATCTGCCGAGAATATGCCATATGCAGCCATGTTTGGAGTATTCACCTAAAGTACTAGGTATAAAGGCATACACAAAATACTAGCAAGGGGGCTAGATTAATTTCATTGCTCCTGTTCACATTGCGGAACAACCTAATTCAAGTTTGAGTCTGTTTCTGCTTTTGTAAGTACCTGAAAGAGACCTGAACAAAATCAAAACAAAAGTAGGTAGTATTAGCAATACTCCAGAGATCTGCATCTGCCATCATCACAGCTGGGGTAGTGAAATGAAGGGAAGTACCGTGTGCAGCAAGCAATAGGAGTCTCCAACTCCAGAGAGAAGGCTGACACAATTCACTTACAGCGTCACTGACTGCCCAGGCATGCTAATTACTTCTTCTGCATGTTCTCTGTCCCTACGACTTAGTCAATTAATCTAACTACAGTGCATCAATTTTTCAGACACTCACCCAACATACTGTAGTTATTATGGTTTGTTGGGTGAAAAAATATGTATTTATTTTTACCATGTATTTGCAGGGCGTTTTTGTCACAGTATAAAAAAAAGCTAGCTTAAAACATGAAATGATTCATATCAATCTCTTGCTGAATGTCTTTCTCCTTTTTCTTTTTTCTTGTTCTTTTTAGTTAAGTGAAATAAGGATGAAAGACCAAGTACTTCCAGTACTTCCAAAGGTAGTAGATATGTGTTCAGGTATTTATTTGTAGGCTCCTGGAGGATGCAGTGGCTTGGTCAGGTTGTATGTAGAGGAAGGAGTAGAGATTGGCTGCTGCACGACAACTGCATCTCAGTAGGAGCAGGACTGGACCCTGCAGTGCATTTTCAGCACAGAATGGAGAGGCATATAAGCTTGAGGTTGGAGTCATCTACCCCTTGTGGTGCAAAGCATGAGGGGTGGTACTGACCCTAGATTTCCTTCTGCATGCTCTATGTAGATATTAAAGGTATGTCATTATAATGGGCCTGTGCATTTCTTCCTGGAAAATGATGAATATCTTTTGCTTATTAATTCTTTTCACTTTCCATTACTACTTATATCCCAGGTAGTTTGCATCTGTTTCTTTGGCAGAAACAGGCAAGAAATTTTGCCTTTTTTTCATTATATTTTACTTTCCATTGTGCTTGACGTGATAAATGATAGATCTGTGTCGCCGTATTTTATATCATGTAATTAAGTGTGAGGGTGCTTGGCAGCAAGCCTTCTTACTTACAGGATGTTAGAGCTGCTGTAAGTTCCAGCACTGGTCACCTTTGGTTTGTTCAGCACTGTAAGACTTCTTATTTTGTTTGCAAAGGCCAGACTCCTTTGGGCTACCAGTGGTTTACTGAGGGCTATCATCCCATCCCAGGAGCATGCCTTTTCTAGAGCTGCCCTCGCACCAAGAAACTGTTTTTGAGCAAGTTCTCCTGCTCTCTGTGATAGTGAGGTTTTCATTGTCCTGCCTTTCACTTGCACTGTGTTACTGGGTGCTGATGCTTGGGAGCCCATTTAATTGTACAGTCAGAGTGTGGTAATCATGTGATGAGATGTTGGTCATACTGCCAGAGCTCTTGCTGTCATTCTCATGTTTGCTCACGTAAGGAACTCAGGGAGCTTGCAGGCTGCAGCCTTTGACATGTGGGCAAAGAGCTGGTGACCATACACTACATGCTATGGAAGGTAACTGCATGACAGGAACAGCTGGTTGAAATTTTTCCAAAGTATTTCTGTGAAAAGCAAGTATTTGGTGAAATGTTACTGAAGGCACAATTTCATGAAATTTTCATTCTTTCAGCTATTCAGAACCTGATATGATAATTTGATATAAGTTTTCATGCACTTTGTAGATGGGCTAATGGCATGACTTATCAAGGTCCCTTCCAACATAACTTACCTTCGGATTCAATTATTTATTTACTGAATTAATTTTATTGGAAAAACTAAAACCTGGAGTAAATAATTATAACTTTTAAAAAGAATTTCTTTAGTTCAAAAAATATAAACCAGCTCAGTACCCCAAAATAAGCTTAAACAGTTCCTAGTTCATCAAAATATAGTGGTCGAAGATAACAATTTCAACTGACATTTTTGAAAGGTTATTATTTCTCATTCAACACAAGCAGATTTCTTTTTAAACTACTTTCGTTAAGACTCTTGTTCCCTTAGCTCTACATGGAACTTACTCCTGTGCACAGCATGCTAACTTGGTATTTTATCTAATAAATTATTAAAGACTTGCTGCTGCACCACTGAACTCAGCAGGAGTACTGGTAGTGGGAAGGACTGGGTTCACAGTGCCACGTTTCCTATGCCGCTGGTGTGGCACTGATGCATGGCTGACGTGCTTCACCGTCTCTTGGTATGTGATATATTTACTTAAGTAAGCATCCTTCACATTGCATATGAAAGACAGAAGCAAATTCTTAGGAGCTAGATCTGTACATTCCAGCATAGTGGAAATGTGTCTTTGGGTAACTTGAACTGTATCATTCAAAACATGTATTTTGGAGCAGCTGTTTTAGTTGAGACATGTTTTAATGGGAGAGCAAACCAGTTCAATCAAGACTGTGATGGGGGGCAATTTTGGGGAATCCTTTTTTTTTTTTTCCTTTGTGGTATTCTTCTGTAGGAAAACTACTTAGGCATCTAAATGAACAAATAACCACTATTTTATATGAGACTGTACATTGTTATAAGTAGTTCTGGTGACATGGGATAAAGGTATTTGATTGGAAGAAGAAGAAAAGTGAAATATTCCTTCTAATACCCTTTGCTTTCCAGTGATTTTATCCTGTAGTTTAGGGTCACCTACGCGATGGAAGTGACTAGAAGTTCTCTCTTCCTTCTTTTTTTGCACTCCATTAATGGCCTCCTTTCTCTTAATAATTCATATGTTTGAAGTGTAGGAGATAAGTGAAAAAACAAACAGACAAGAGAATGCCTAACAAAGTACTTTGGAGTTGTTTGTTCAGCATATTCCAGCTTGCATATTAGAAAAACAGTATTATGTAGGGGAGGGACGGAGCCAGAGTACTACATTGTTTACATACTCCCTGATATGTGTTTGCTGTCGTTTCTAGGGGTTCCAACACCCAGTCCAGAAATCCTTCGACATACGTTGAATATGCTTGTACGGGAGAGGAAAATATACCCAACTCCAGATGGTTATTTCATTGTAACCCCGCAGACTTACTTTATAACACCATCTCTCATAAGAACTAACAGTAAATGGTACCATTTGGATGAGAGGATACCTGACAGGTCTCAATGTACCTCTCCACAACAAGGGACTATCACTCCCTCCACCTCGGGATGCGTCAGGGATCGAACACTACCCAAAAACCACTGCGACTCCTGCCATTGTTGCAGAGAAGACATGCACAGCATGCATGCATCTACCCTACAGAGGAAGTCAGCCAAGGACTGTAAAGACTCATATTGTCCTCCTTCATTATGCCAGGTCCCACCCACTGAGAAAAGTAAAAGTACTGTCAATTTTTCTTACAAGGCAGAGACGCTCACAAAGCCTAAGGATGTAGAAAAACAGTCTAAGAAATTTGGACTCAAATTATTCCGCTTAAGTTTTAAGAAGGACAAGACAAAACAGTTGGCAAATTTTTCTGCCCAGTTTCCTCCAGAGGAGTGGCCACTGAGGGACGAGGACACCCCTACCACTATACCTAGAGAGGTAGAGATGGAGATTATCAGGCGCATTAACCCAGATTTGACTGTGGAAAATGTCATGAGACACACTGCACTAATGAAGAAACTTGAAGAAGAAAAAGCTCAACGAAGCAAAGCGGGATCTTCAGCTCACCACAGTGGACGAAGTAAAAAAAGTAGGAATCACAGAAAGTCTCATGGGAAATCGAGGTCCCACAGCAAGACTCGGGTATCCAAAGGAGATCCATCAGATGGCTCTCATTTGGATATACCTGCAGAAAGAGAGTATGAGTTCTATGATCCCTTGACTCGATCCCCACGGGAAGGCTGTTTCATAATAGAACACAAGGGAGATAATTTTATAATGCACAGCAACCCTAGCATGATTGAATCTCACTTTCCCATGACACCAGAATGGGATGTGTCCGGTGAGCTGGCCAAAAGAAGAACTGAAATGCCTTTTCCTGAACCTTCCAGGGGAAGCTCCCACTCTAAGGTCCATCGGAGCCACAGCCATACACAGGATAGACGATCGAGGAACGAGCGGTCTAGTAAGGCTAAAGAAAGGTCTAGATCCATGGATAACTCCAAGGGACCTCTGGGCTCAGCTACTTTAGGCACTCCTGAAGACATGGGTGAAGGCTGTAGCCCAGATGACCAAACAACTAGCCAAACTTACATTGATGATAGTACTTTAAGGCCATCTCAGTCGCTCAGTCATCAAAGGGCTCTGATTTCATCTGCAGGCTACAAAGAGACTTGCATCCCTGAAATAGCTAGCGGCAGTGTAGAAACCCCCAGTTCCTGTAGTCTGTTGGAACAAAAGCCTACGGAGAATTTGCCATCGTATAGTGAGCTCAACTCCTGCACAACAAAATCTGCAGTCGATGACTATTTCCAGTGCAACACGTCCAGTGAGACTGTGCTTACTGCTCCGTCACCACTGGGAAAGAACAAAGAGGATCATGACACGCTGACAGGGACAGATGGGCTCAAAAAAATGGCTCCCTCAGAAAGACAGTCTCAGCATGTTCCCAGGGAGCCTGGGGTGCACAAAGAGGAGTCCCCAAAAGGCCCAAGCAGTGGTTCAGCAGTTGTAGGCCAGACTCCAGAGGTGATTGCAAACGGACGGCTGGTTCAACACCACAGTGCTGAATCAAGCAGCCTTGATAAAAGGAAAGAAATATTTAGCAAGGATACACTCTTCAAACCTCTGCACAACACTCTTTCTGTGAATAGTTTCCATAAGTCTAGCACGCCCCTGCTAAAGCCCCATCAAAAGACCCCTTCTGACACGTTACCAGTCAGATGTGAGAAACTTGAACAAGCGATAGTAACCTCAGTCACACAAGTCATGCCTGTCTCACAGAGACAGCAAGAGACAGCTGGGAACCAGGAGGCCTCGTTTGACTACTACAACGTATCTGATGATGACGACTCAGAGGAAGGAACCAACAAAAATGCCGAGGAAGAGAAGAACAGGGATGATGTTGGCACAATGCAGTGGCTCCTGGAGAGGGAAAAAGAGAGAGATCTGCAAAGAAAGTTTGAGAAGAATCTCACTCTTCTCACCCCAAAAGAAACAGAAAATAGCAACAACCAGAGAGCCACCCACTCAGCCCGCCTAGACAGCATGGACAGCAGCAGCATTACTGTGGACAGCGGGTTCAACTCTCCACGGTAGGACTGTCACATTAATTGCATCTTTCCAGTCTAGAAAGTTCAATTTTTAGTTATTTATGTGTATTGGTAACAGAATGTAGAGCCATATTAAACAAATGTACGTGTTCTAAGACAGTGTTTTCCACAGCTCTGGAATCTGATATTGAGATGTATGGTTTTCTCCCATACTGTAAGCAACCACTGGTACTAACTCTGTATTATCTTATTTGGCTGAAAGACCTCCCTGTATCTTCTTTTTTTTTTCTCTGTTTTAAACTTACGTTTGCATTTAGAGTAGCAGGGATGAGCTCCTGCATACTTGCCCCTTCTTTTTCTCATCAAGACTAATTGGAAGACTAGACATGACTAGATGCCATAATCTTTGGCTCAGGCCAGAAAAAAAAAAAAAAGAAGTTTAGTCTGGGTTTTGGCTTTTTTTGTTTGTTTTCTTCAAAAATTTTGGAAGTGTGTCTATTGCCAATGAGTCTGGAACAGCTGTTTCCTCCACACTGCTGAAAGGGCTCAAGATATTTTACCTTCAGAAATGACCCAGTACTGCACCAGCAAAGAGAGAGATGTCTTGCCTAGGAAGCTTGGGAAAAGAGCCCACGTTTGTGTGTGGTAGCAAGGATTAGTCATTTCCATCCCAGGGATTGCAGATATTACAGAAGTCTTGGTGCAACTGGACCCTTACAGGCTTAGTGAGGAGAGAATTCCTGGTGTGTTTCCTACTCTGAAGTTCTGATAATCTCATTTCCAGGTTAAGAATCCTTCACTCAAGCCTTCTTCTTTCTCCCTCTGGACTTTAGCTATCCTAGGTCCCTGCTGGAATGGAGCTTGTCTGGTTTTGTTTGCCCTGGATAGCAACCCATCAGAGTTCAGAACAATGACTCTGAAACCACAGAAATAATTTACAATGCTTGTTCTCCTATAGTGTCTTACTTAGGTGTAAATTATTAATGCCTGTGTTTAAAAATAAAACCTCCAAGACTGGATTTGTATTAGAGGAAAGAAAATTGTTTTCTTTTAACTTAAAAAGTGTTCTTAATCCTCAAAATTATATAGTCTTAATAATCTACTGCAAAAGCTCACAGAAAGGCACATGAAGGGTTTCCTGCTTCTACACACAGGACTAATTTTCCCTTTCAGTTAAAGTCATGTCATTCTGAAATAAATTCCTTTGGATTTGATGGTTACTCCTGCTTGATGTTAGTGACAAGGCAGGAATTGCTGGGCCTGCTGCAGCACGCAGCAAACATCAAAGTACCGGAGCAGATTTCTAACATATGTATGATTATTTCCTAAGTAAAAAAAAAATAATAGTAATTTAAGTAATTTGAGTAAAATGACCACGTTTGCAGTGAATCTAACTTTAAGAAGGGAATTCAAGAAGATTCTGATTTTGCTGTTGTTACTGCTCTGTAGATGCTTGGCATCTTTCTCACATACAGCTGCTGTATGAGGCTATTTGTGCTGTTTATTTTAAAATGTAATCTCTTTAAGTTGAAGTTCTATAGTTCTGACTGGCAGTCGGTTTTTGCAGGGGAGTATATAATGTTCGGTACTGCTTGCCCAGCCTATCCTACTCTGCTCAATGTGTTTCATCTCCAGGACAAGATATTGACTGGATAAAAATTAGTTCTTAGTTTTGCTAGATGCATGCTAACTGAATATAAGCTTGCTTTTCTGGTTAGTGCAAAGTCAGACATTTTCTTCCCTAATTATTTACAGAAAGGCTAAAATCTCTGTTGAAGTTCAACCTGAACTTAGATTGAAGAGAACAGAACGTTGTGAGCTTACTGGATTCAGTAATGTTAAGATTAAAAGGGAAACAGATTAGCAGCTTTTAATAATGATCATGTTCTACACAGTGTGTTTTAATTTTATTAATTATGATTCTTTTCTTTTTGCAAGGCCACAGAAAGTAAGCTTTTACATTAAAAAAAAACAAAACAAAACACATTCCGTAGGCACTTTTTTTTCTGTGTATTTGTTTTGTAAGGCCAGTGTAAGTCTGGATATTTCAAAGGCTTTTAAATATCCAAGTCATGAGTTTTGCATCAAGATGATTAAATTGGATGCTTTTGCTCTCTTCTGGTCACTCCTCAATATAACTCTATAAAAACAAATGAAGATGAGGTTGATTTGGACTCTCTGGCTATATTTAGCTTTCTGTTATTACTTGCCTACCTTTTAACAAAAAATGTACTCCACAGCCCTTCTCCAGGAAATGTAAAACCACTGTCCAGCATCCGTCTGGTAAGATTCACCTAGCTGTGACAGCATCCATTAGCAGATGCCTTGGGAAGAGGATAAAACCAGGACCTGTATCTGGTGATATCTCTCAAGTATACTCTGGGCCTCTGCTGATGTGCGCCTCTGGGGTTGTGTCTGCTGGGCTGTGGTGCTGTTTGGTCACGCAGTGTTGCCTGGGGAATCAGAGTTAGCAGTTCTACACTGAAAGAAAAAGGCTATTTAATGAGAGGTGGGTACTTCACGTGATTTGCAATGGTCATTTGACTTCAAAAGTGTTTTGTGAATGAAATTCATCAAAACATCACTGTCTGGAAGACAGCCTCTCAGTATTTTGTTCATTGCATTTACACAGGTGGTATATGGTATCCGTTAGCTCACCGCATTCATTTTATTGCTTTATTTTTAGGGCTTATATAATACTGCTGTTCTTTTGTCACCTAAGGAAGGAGCTAATTTTGGCATTACTCTGCATACAGAACTCACTGCAGTCGTTACCTGTAGATGTCGTAATGGTCAGTTTGTATCACTGGAATTGAAATTGCTTGAAAATGTGAAATTGGTGGTCCCTTTAAGAAGGATACAGTACTGAATGATCTTCAGAAAGCAAAGGTTGCATCTCTTCTTGTTTGTAAGCAGAAAGAGAGGAATCAAAGACCAGAAGCACAGCCTGCGTCACTGCAGCTCAGTGCATGTGTCACCCGTCGTAGCTGTTTGGAACTGCTTACAACAAGGGAGGAATTGGCAGATGATCAGTGCCATTTTGATTGATTTTAAAAGATCTACAAGAGCTTCTCTAAAAGCATCATTTTAGTTGTCAGTTTAAGATGACTTACAGCTGAATTTATTACTACAGCTAAACAAGACATTTCTTTTTCCCCTTGTGTCACGCACTGACACATTCCTCCCTCTGTCCTCAGTACCTTCGGCTGTAGTGCCCATTTAACACCCAGCAGTACTCTAAATGGACTCAGGAAACGTCCTTGGCAAGTCGTGATGTCATTTTGCAAAGAAGTGGGGCTATACATAACCAGGATCCACATGCCTTGGTTTGAAAACCAAATCTCTTTCTGCATGGAAAAACATGATTTAGAGATTAAGAGTAGAAAGAGAACAAAAAGAGTGGTAGTGCCGAAATCTAGCTTTAGCATATGGATGAGTTTTTTGAAGCTGTGGGCTAAAATATAGACTCTTCTGCATTCTTGGTGAGATGTATTGTGTAGTCTTTGAAAGTGCTAAGTGTGCTGTCACTCCCATGGACAAAGGATTTGTTAGAACTACAGGAACTCGGTCCGTTGTCTGAGTGACAAAGCAAGTTGTGCTGCACAGTTACTCTCCTAGCTGTACATATTCACAGAGCTGATTTGATGGAAGTTACTTTGTGCAAAAACGGACAAGCCAGGGAAGAAAACTATGTTCCACAAAATAAAATAGAAGGTACGTTCTTGAGTGAAAATCCAGATACTTGACAGTGGTTTGGTTTACAGACCCTGTGTGACAGCTCCGGCTCTGCTTAGTGCTGTCCCTGTATTACAGCACGGCTACTGCTGAGTTCTGCTGGAACCCGTTCTGGAGGAACATATGTGAGCTGTCAAAATGAGATGGTTTATTGATGTGACATTGCATACAAACACAGGAAGCCTATTATAAAACACTCTATTCTCCTTTCCTGCCTGGTCGATAGATATATCGGCATGTCTTATGTGAGTGCGTATATATATTTCTTTTCCGTTCTAGTACTCGGGAGAGCCTGGCATCCAACACTTCGAGCATTGTTGAAAGCAACAGACGTCAGAACCCTGCTCTGAGCCCAGCACACGGCGGTGCAGGCCCAGCGTTCAGCTTCCGAGCCACCGCAGACCCGCCGACAAGCGAAGCTGAGAAACTGCAGAAACCAGCTAACTGCCTGCAAGCTTCTGTCACTAGTGTCTGATAGTCAGCCTGCCTCAGAATTTCTGTCTTATCCCATACAGCAAAGTTTACGACACTGGGACTGATGTTTACATCTTTGGAGAAAAAAAAAAAAAAAAAAAAAAAAAAGCATCTCAACCACAGTTTTAGTGTTTACTTAAACTGTGCTGCTATGTAGACTAGGGGCAACAAATAAATCTTTCTTTCGAGGTATTGCTTTTCACATTTGCGGCTCTGTAGCAACAGAATAGCAGTAGGGATAATATGTACACTTTTTGCTTCACTTAATTGTAACTGAGCACATATATGAAAGTCTAGACACTGTAAGTGTAATCTGCATTTTCAATGTCCATGCAGTTGCCAACTTCATTTAAAAAAAAATGCCACAGATGTGTGATGCCCCTGGTCAGAAGCTAAACTCTGCTGCAGAGTTGGTTTCCTTCAAAAATTGAGCCAGTGCTGACAGTGACCAGCCAGGATCACCGCGAGGAAAAATGATGCCAAACGTGACGAGTGATGACCTCGGCTCTGTCTGCGAATTATCGGTACCCATCAGTCATTTCCACTGTGCGTTTTGGCGACAATTTTGCAAATACCTGTTGAAGTGAATAAGAAGAGGTTCTTTTTTTAGATTGTGGAGGGTGGGGAGGGAGACGGCTTTCCCTTTTGTGTTTCAGAAGTATGAGAGATGCTCGTGTACTGAAGCTCGCTGCATGACCTTCCGCGGTCACAAATGGGGTGGTAGGCCTTTGCGTAGAGGGGGGAATGGGGAGGGAAGGGAAAGTTATAACTGTTGCAGAGCTGCGGCGCGGAGTGACACAAAATATAGGAAATATCTTCAGTTTACGTAGAGTGTTTTAAAAAGATAATCTGATTTTCGTGTCACTTCTGGTATTGCATCTTGCCATTAACGCAGGAACCAGAAAAAAATCTGATTTCTTTGAACACAAATATTCTTTATGATATAAATGACAAGTATGGCCTGAAGAACTGATTTCTTTCTAGTGGAAGGACATAAATCTATTTTATGTAGCTTATTAAATAGAGTGCCTAAATTAGGCTATTAAAAAATAGCATACAGTGTAGTTATTATCAGAGAACAAAATTTAGAGAATTATAAACTTCTGGCCTTTTTATTCAGTGGATGTTATTTGCAATTTAGCATTTTATGGACATGTTTAGTTTCTAGAAATTAAATGTGTCCGTATGGTGGGCAGTAGAAAACTGAATTCTGTAAGTATGGTTTATCCTAATTGCTCTCCCCAAAACTGTTACTCTGGAGTAATTTGTGCCATGCTAATTACTGCAGAGTAACTTCTAGGGATAGTTGAACTTCAAAAATAATTTTGAGGTGTAGGGTCACATTCTGCTCTGTTCCTCATACAACCTGGTAGTGCAACAAACTGACTTCAGAATTAATTCTGTCTTCGTTTTCTGTCAGAACAGACAAATTGGTGGAAGAATAACAAAGATATGAAATCGTTCAGCAGTCCAAACTGTTGAATAGAAGAGAGACATTTCCACTGTCTAGCTCCTGTAGTACACAGGTATTAAAACCAACTGTACATACTAAGAACCAGTCTTTTCATCAGGTTCTGGTGACATGCATTACTCTGTACGCAGAGTCATTTGAGCTTCACTCGTGTTCTATATTCTCATCAGAAGTCTTCACTGAAGGTTCAGCCTTATGTTATGCAGTTGGATATGAGTTCATTTTCTTACCAGCCGGCTTGCTAACTGGATGCGACCAGTTTCTAATTCTGTAAGAACATCTCCAGTACCCAGTAAATGCACAGGTCTGCTTTCCTTGGTTTCAGTGTACAAATTCCATTTCACAGGAGCAATAAGACCTTTTGGTGCACATGAAGGAAATTATTGTGCTTTTGGTTGGTTATCAAAGTCACTTGGCCTTTAGCCTTCTGCCTTATCATACCTTCCAAGATGTGCTCTAATGACCATATAGCGCTTTGCATGACGCATCTTACTATTCAATATGTAACTCCAGCCGTGCTTACTCCATGCAAACTGTAGAGTCAGAGATTTTGTGGGGAGCTGTCATATACTGTGCAGTAGCTGACTGTGATTTTGTTTTCTGAGGCAAGCTCTGATATCAGTAGTATGTATCCATTCAGTAAATAAAAATGTCAAAACTTAAAAAAAAATAATAATAATTACAGCCGATGATCTGAAGTACAAATGGCAGTATTAGAATGTGAGGAGCAAGAGCAAATTTTATCTTCTGGAGAAGTGTTTGTCATAAAGTAATCAGAACTTATGCAGGCAGCTGGTTGTACAGAAGACATAGTTCCAACAAAATATGGCAGTACATACCTACAAACTGTGTAGTATGTAGTTTCCTAAAGTTCCCAGAGACCAGCAGACAACATAAATGTCATATTAATGTTGACGTGGCATTGTACCAATATTAATGTGACTCTTGGAATATGGAATGTAAACAGAAGTTTCAAATAGAAACGTTTTAATCTTGAATTACTTTTTTTTTTTTTTTTTCCTTTTTTTTTCCTTTTTTCTGTCTTTTTTCTTTAAAATCAACAATGGAATATAAAGAAATTCCATCTTGAGGTTCTGGTAACAAAACCACGAGAGTGGAGCTTGAGTGCTTTATGTCACCCTAATCCTTTGATGAAATCATAGCCTTGTATTACGTGGTTGCTTATCTATCATTCTTCTAATGTATCGATTTAAAGGTTTACAGAGTTAGATTAGGTTGAATCTGTGTTGTGTTCAACTGTAAAGGGTCAACACAAATCTGTCGGCATTTTGCACACTTGATATGTATTATTATAATACAACATGTTACTTTTATGGTAATTTTTTTTACACATATAACTACCTCCATGAATTTGATGAAATGCAGCAACATAAAAGCGTATTGTACAAAGCAAGGTTAAAAACTTTGAAGCATTAGCTCATGGCGTTCTCTTGTGTGTCAATGCTTGCGTATGAAGTCATCGTGTTTCCATTGCCACGATTTCCTTTTACAATATTAAAAATCTGTCTTTCAGATGAGTCATGTAAGACTTTGACAAGGCTGCATAATTTGGATAACAGTGAAAAGGGAGGCTGAACCCTCCCATCCTCTCCCCAGTTACTGCTACAATTTCTGCCTGGTAGAACTTGAAAATGTGTATGTAACTGAGCAAATTAGGAACATCTACAGTCTGTGAAATACGATTGAGGGTGTGGGGTTGTAGGGGAAGACGCTCCGGGTATTTTCTTGGCAGCCTGCAAATATGCTGGGCCCTATTCTGCCTCCTTTTGCCAACAGGTCAGGTCATGGTTTCTCGGAACTGGCAAGAGTTAGAACAGCAATATGTGCTCTGGTTTCTGGAGCGTGTACGTCAGAACCACTCACTCTTGTAGAAATGAGCAGCAGCTCTTAATTGACTTTGCTGGGAGCAGCATTAGGGACCCTGCTTGAGGTATGTGCCTATTGTTCAAAGAACATGGCCAAGTTCCCAAGAAAAATGAAGCCGGCCTTGGAAGTAGCCAGTTGCAACAAGCCACCTTTCAGAAGGGAAGAAAGATTTTCCAAAAACCAAAGGAAGAAAGTGGCGGCTGAACTTAAGCAGATCATATTTATATACAAGCCCCGATTTTTGAACACCTCTTTCAGCAAACCTAGTGCCATTATCGCAGTGCAGGTTAATATACGGTCATCAGCAGAGCTAATTTAGCTGTTAAAATAGTTCAGTTAAAAATCGTAAGAGGTCCATTTGACTCTGCATCATTGTAAAACATCTGTAAAACAAGCAGCGATGCTTGCTTAACTTTAAAACATATCAGGAAAGAAATATTGTAATGAAAACCACAGCCTAGTGCTTGCCAGAGCAGTCATTCTTACAGCAGAGAATGAGGAAGCCAAGGTCATGCTTTGCACCCAGATCACGCTCTCTGGCCCTGGAGCCCTCCGTGTGGTTCAGCCAGGGCAGGCAGGTGGGTGGCACCGTCCCCATCTTGTGTCAGGGCATGCTGGAAAAAAACAAAAAAACAAAAGGCTGAAATCTCTGGACAAAATTATTACCTGGTTTCCTTCTTTCTCTTCAAAAGTCATTCAAGTAAAATTTCTCAGTTAACCAAAGTGTTGATAGTTTGAAGTTTTCACACGGTCGGTTTAAGAGAGGGGCTACTGTGTGGTCCTGCGGGGACTCTCAGACGAGCAGTGCCAAACAGTTCCAATCACACAAGTACTGCCAGCAGAGGGTCTAGGAACAGGATTTTTAATTAAAAATGTGTTTTTCGAATACATTTCCCAGAGCTTTTCCTAAACACAGTTGTTCAAGTGGTGCTGAGGAAGCAAATAGCACTCCTGATCTGGTGTCACCCGCACAGTTTACAATTCTCTTTGCTCTTCTGAAGAAAGCTGTACAGTATTAAGAGAGAAAAGTTCTATTTTTTACATAATTCTTTAAAAGAAAACAAAGTATATATCTAAAGCGTTCCCCCCCAACGTAAGTAAAGTACGTGGATACTGCATCAGAGAGCTGCATGGCACGCAGGACCCAACTAAAGCCAGGCTGGTGCTAGAAGAATCCGGGACTCGCACTTCTCATAGCGGCTCCGAGCGTTGGTTGCAGCCCCATGGTGTAAATCTGGCAGTCACTCCCCGCTTCCCCCCTCTCGCAGAGAGCGGAATTGCTTGCTAACTCCATTGAAGCTCAGTTCTGAGCTGAGGATTTCCGTGTTCCTTCCCCCAAGACAATAAAGGAGCAGAAGGCCGCACGCACACACCTGCAGCTGGAAGAGATCCCTGGTGGAGGGCAGCAGCCCTGTGCCCGGCTGTGGGGAGAGCTGGCATAGGGGTTACCTCGGTGTGTGGAGGAGAAGTGTGCTGAAAGGGATGGTAATTCTGCAGGTAATTTCCTGTGAGTGACTGAATGTGGCTGTTGCATTAGGTCTGAGTTAATAAATGCAAGTGGGACTTACTGTATGTTAGAAGGGAGTTTTGCAGCCAAGACTGCCTTGTATAAATGTGTTTGCACTGAAAAAAAAAAAAAAAAAGAAAAAAAAGAAAAAAAAAGAAAAAAAATTAAAAATTACTTGGTCTCTGGTTGCTGTAAAGGTCATCCAAGATGGATGTTCTGTTTATATTGTATAGTATTTCATATGAAATAATTACGGTTCATGAAATGTCTTCCCTAACGTTACTGATTTATAACAGCACATTTGTAACATGGTTTTTATTGTGTCAGTGTACCATATTGTAAATGATGATAACTTGTCATGCTTAGTATAATAATTTAAAGGAAAAAAGGACAGGGATTTTTGTAAGTCTATATTTGAAAGTCCCTCCATATGGTAATATTGTGTTCATGTTGTTTATGTAGTGTTGTGTGAAATATCCATTTTGGATTGTGTTACTTTTTAAGATATTAAATAACATTTGGTTATATGTTTTAAGTGGATTTCTTGTACCCATCAGTGGCTTTTAGAGAAAGCGCTTTCCATTTTAGAGAAGACTGCTTCCATTTGACACGCCATCCTCTCCCTCATTTTTGAAACCTTGTGTTACAAATTGTCGGTCTCAGAAAAACCAGGTGAGTGCTGTGTCTGCTTCCCTGGGGGGCTGTGAGAGTGTGAGGGAGGAAATTGGCTGCACTTGAGAGCCCCAGTGGGAAGGGGGAACAGTACATGGCTGGAGAAGTGCTGCAAAGTCCCCCTATCTCTGCTGATAACTTGTCAGGTGGTATTTTGAAGGTTCTCCTCCCCACTGTTGCTCTTTTCCATTGGCTCCTCAACTGTTTCTATAATGTCCGACTTTTCTTCTTGGTTTATTTTCTACGATGTCCTTCTCTGTCAGAATCCCACCTCTCCTGCTCTATTCTGGCACTTTTCCTCCTTCTGGTTGTTTTCTTTTCCTATGTGTTACTTGACATGAGACATCCTTCGCTCCTTTTCTCACCCTTTCTGCTTAGAATGTCATCCTACTCCTACAGAGCCTATTCCTCCCTTTTTCATTACTTTTTCTTTTCACTATCCCTGTTCATTTAAAGACCCCAGAGAAGAAAAGGAGCTCCTGTCAGCACTTCCCTTCCAACCATGCCACTCCAGATCGGCGACTTTAAAAAAATGCTGGGTGGAAGTTTTCCTTTGCTGTTCATCTTGTCTGTTCTTCTGTCCTTTTGGCTGCCGCTCCTGTTTTCTGTGCTTTCTTGCCCAACATCTCTGCACTTTGAGGGCTCAGAAAGGAGTCCTCAAACCTCAACTAAAGCCCCGGCTCTCATTTGTCTTCCAGCACTGAGCAAGGCCCCAGCTAAATGCTGAGAAAAACGCTTCCAGAAATACCACTGGCTTTGTGCTGGGAGGGCAGAGCTCGTGCTGATGAGCGGCTTCCTTCCAGCCTCCAAGTCCTCGTGCTGAACAGGGTATTTTTAGCCCTGCTGTCGCAGGAGTGACAAATGGGGACTGGGAGCAGGAAATCCCAAGCACATTTTTTTAAGTCTCTTTTCTCATCTCTCATCCCGATAAGCACAGAAGACCTAACCCTATGCTGGCAGCTATTTGAAAAAACAAGCACAGTAAATAAATCAACCAGCACGTACATGTCTGTGCTCTAGGAAGAAGCCTGTCCTTCTGGAGGGGAGTAACCCTTAGACAGGCTGGGACACTGCTGAGCTTAGCATTTGGGAAGCCTCCCCTGCAGCCATGGGACCAGCTCCTTGCTGCCTCAGCTGTGCTCCATCCTCCTCCTGCTGCTCTCCAGCAGGCCCCAGCCACTGGCCCAGCACAGGGAGGCCATGCAGGGAGAAGCTCTCCTGCGTCCAGTTTAGTGCTTGCCTCTGGCTTGTTCCCAATGTGAACTTGCCAGAAAATCCTTATTCAGGATCTAGCTGCCACAACTCCCCATGCTTCCACTGGACACGAGCTTATGATGACTTTCAGATGCTTGTCATCAGGCCAGCCATGACCCTGAGCTGAGGCATGGCTCTGGCACAGCTTCTCAGCAAAATAGCTGCATTTTTTCATTTTTAATCTAAGCAAAGTGGTACAATTTTCCCTCTTCTTCAAAAGGAACAGTGAGACGTTTTACTCAATACTGCAAGAAGCTGATGGTTGAGACCTCAACTTCATCTGCTTGTATGCTTCACATGCAGCCCACGCAACATCTCCAGCTTGACAAAGGGAGCCAGGAGCTCCCATCTCCACATAGCCAGGGCTGTCCCATGCAGGCAAGGGAAGATCCAGAAAGCCCCTGAGTTCCTGGGCAGGGCACTGGTGCTGGAACAGCAGGCAGAGATGATGGAGCACTGAGGGTCTCGCAGGATTGTGCAGTCTTTCTTGCACCTGCCTGCCCTGTTACCTTGATTTCAGGCCAATCTCCCTCTCCAGCCTACAGATGACCCAGGCGTGTGCTGTTACCACCTCCACCCAGCCTCCCTCCATTCTCAGCCTCAGGGGCTGCCCTAGTACACTCAGCTTTCGTTTTCCATAATCTTCTTTTCTTCACCTACTTCAGAAGAAAGATATTTTTCTTCCAACTGTGGTGTTTTATTTTTAAGTAGTCTCCAGTGGGCCCTAGAGATTTATTATTTGTTCATTACAAGGAAGCTCAAGAGCTCTCGCACCTCAGCTAGCTGATGTATTTATTGCTCCTCCTTAGAGGCAGAATGCACTCCCATTACTTTTTTATTATCAGCCATAATCTAACATGCAGCACCCGTATTTCTCATGCTCCAGAGCCACACAGCAGATAACAGTTTCACCAAATCACAGTGTGCAAGGAAGTGTTTGAATATAAAATGAAAACCCTTCTTATTTTTGATGGCAAAGGCAAGAAAAATAAACCAAAAACTAAAGCCATACAGGATGGCAAATAATAGTGTATAATCAAAGAATATTAGGATGGTATAACCACAGAACAAACAAGAGTTAGGCAAAGCAGACTATGACAACAAAAAAGAATAAATAGAAAGCTTACCCCTCTCCTGGGCTCACACACAAAACACCAGCAGAGCAGATCTCCAGACAAGATCCATCCCCACTGGCAGCCAGCTCTTAAATGGGTCTAGGAGGGGTGCAGCCAGGCTCCACCCCTTCCTGCAGCACAGGTGAATTGCCTTCACTGTGCTCCTCTGGCTGACTCATGGCTCACCTCAGGTGATCCATCAGAGGTTCAGGCCGTGACTCGGCAGTTCCCACACAAATAGTTTTACAAAGCTTCCACTGTGTTGAATATTAGGAAAAATTTCTGAGTGGTTGGGCACTGGAATGAGCTGCACAAGGAGGTGGTGGTGTCACCGTCCCTGGAGGTGTTCAAGAATTGTGGAGATGTGGCTCTGAGGAGCACGATTAGTAGGCATGGCGGGATGGAGCTGGGCTAGACTATCTTAGAGGCCTTTTATAGACTTAATGATTCTGTGGTTCTATGGGAGGGTCTGGAAGGGTCCCAAATGGCAGGAGTGCTGCCAGCAAAGCCTCTCCTGCCTGGGCCCTCGCTCTGGCCATCCCGTGGCCCACAGCACCACCTGCTGTGCTTTGGCACAGCTGGGAACCAGCCCCCGCCTGAAAGCAGCGAACATCCTCACACTGCTGGCAGTATCCTCTCTGCTCAGGCTGCCCCCCTAAAAAAAAACACAAGGAAAAACTGCTTATCTTAGCCCATCACCGGCCTTCCCCCTTCCCATGTGCACAGGAGGTTTCCACTCAGGAAAGTTCTGAACGACACAAAGCTCTCACGTTCGCCTTGCAACAAAACCTCCTCCCTCCCTTCTCCCATTTCCCACTGTACGTGCAGCAACTTGCTGTATGTTCCCTTCCAGAGGATGCGAAGCGCCTCTGCGCTTACTTTGTGTCCAAAAAAATCATCTCTCCAGGAGGAGAAGGCGCGTGATGCATCCCAGATGTCTGCACAAGGCAGCAGTCTGCAGACATAACAGATTGCAGGAGGGAGGTGGGGAAGCAAGGAGCAACTGCTGCCACGTGCCCCTCTCAGCAACGGGGGAGCTGTGAGGCTGACACTTTGCTGCACAGACATACGAAATCCTTTAAATGTTACA